TGTTGGATGCATAATCAGATCATGACACACTTTGAAGAATAAAGAGAATGATAGAAGCATCCCAGATCACCATGCAGTCTAAGGGATGCCCCGGAAGGCCTTCGGAAAATCCTCAAGTCAGTCTCCAGTTAGTGGGTCTCCCATATCCAAGGAATGAGCCTACATTAGTATCCCTGTCATCCCAACTGCTGGCTGGGAACAGTCCCTAGGAAGCATGACTGGAGAGAAAGCGAGGCAATGATTGAAGAGCACAGTGGGTAGGACCATTCATTTTACTCAATTATTCTCCGTTTCTACAAGGTGCATTCTCATGGCCACCATATCTACCTTGAAGATTTATTGTGAAATTAGCAATAATTTAGGTGCATTACTTAGGAAAGTGTGCTTGCCACATAATACCTATTCAATAAAGAATAGCTATCATCACATCTCAATTGTGAACTATCATAATTCTGTGATATTCATAAAGTACATATTTCATCCCCTCAAAACTTCTTCCTATTAGGTGTTTGTATTGGTTTTCTAAGGCTACCATTCCAAAGTACCACAATCTGGGTGGCTTAAACAACATACATTTGTTTTCTAATAGTTCTGGAGGCTAACGTCCCAGATGGAGGTGATAGAAGAGTTGGTATCTTCTGAGGCCTTTCTCCTTGGTTTATTGAGCACCATATTGTCTTTGTCTTACCCGGTCTTCCTTCTGTGTGTATAGCTATATTCACATTTCTTCTTCTTCTAAAGAAACGAGTCATACTGGGGTTGGGTTTACCCTAATGACCTAATTTTAACTTAATTGTATCTTCTAAGACCTTCTCTTCAAACACAGTCCCATCTAAGGTATTGGGAATTAGGACTTCAACATATGAATTTGGGGGGACATAACAGTAGTATTGTTAAGCATACATTAGAGATAAGAAAAGAGAGAATTAGATGTGTCAAATAAGAAGCCATGGTCCAGCTGGCATGGCTCAGTGGTTGAGCCTAGACCCCAGGAGGTCACAGTTTGATTCCCAGTCAGGGTATATGCCTAGATTTAGGGCTTGATTCCCAGTGTGGAGCATGCAGGAGGCAGCTGATCCATGATTCTCTCTCATCATTGGGGGGTGTGTGTGTATATATATATATATATATTTTTTTTTTTTCCTCTCTAAAAAAGAAAAGAAAAAAAAAGCAGCAGTTGCCATGGTTATACTTACAATGAAACACAGAAACTGGATCTCTTTAATTCCAAGCAAAGTCTATTATGTTTTTATGAAAGTACATTATATACCTGACCCTGTATATATTATATATTTGGCCCTTTTAGGTAGAGGCTGAAAATAAAAGGTGATATGGCCTAGTAGATGTGGACCTAATATCCACAAAGAGAAGCCCTTGTCAAAACCGGTTTGGCTCAGTGGATAGAACGTCAGCCTGCGGACTGAAAGGTCAAGGGCATGTACCTTGGTTACGGGCACATCCCCCAATAGGGGGGTGTGCAGGAGGCAGCTGATGGATGATTTCTCTCATCGATGTTTCTAACTCTCTATCCCTCTCTGTAAAAAATCAATAAAATATATATTTTTTTTAAAAAGAGAGAGAGAAGCCCTTGAATCAATCTCCGCACATCTTTAAACTAGGTTCACAAAAGCGGGTGATTTTAGGCCCTCAAGGGATATTTAACTTATTCTGGAATCACTTTTGGTTGTCACAGTTGGGGATGTGCTGCTGGCATCTAGAGGGTATATGCCAGGAATGCGGCTAAAAACCCCATATTGCACACAACAGCCTCTTGCCTCAATGAATTATCTGGCCTAAATGTCAACAATGATGGGGTTGAGAGACCCCACATCAGAGTAAGGCAATATGGTCATTAAATCAGGACAGGAAATTGTATAGATCTCCTTTGAAAATTTAGGTCATGATGCATACTTGTAGACTTGTCTGTCAAGCAGAACTGAACTCATTATTTTTTAATTTATTATGTTGCTATCGATTTATTCTAGAATATAAGATTATTGCTGTATGAGCATAACTTTTTATGTTAAATGCTTATACCTGACTTTCCCTATTTCTTGGAAATGATGGTACTGTTGCTGGTAATAGTTTTGAAAAGCTACTTATTTACTATTATGTTCTTAGTAATTTACATAGTTTCTAATTTTTTTTCATTTTTTTTATTTTGAAGGAATATTTAATATTAATATTGTGAGTTATTATCTTTTGCATATCAAAGTTACACATTTCAAACAAATCGTCATTTATATTTACAGTATACAAATGCAAAGCACTAATTTCCCACTAAATCATCACTTCCTTAAAATGGTACATGTGATGTTATGAAATTAGCTATTAAGTATTCGAAATAGTGGAAGAGAGGTCCTTTCTTCAGTCTTTTTTTTAAATATATTTTTTTGATTTTTTTTTTTGCCTCCCTCCCTCCCTCCCACACATCCCCTCCCTCCCCAGAGTTTTATGTCCATTGGTTGTACTTATGTGCATGTATAAAAGTTCTTTGGTTGATCTATTTTTCTGGCTAGAGGAGAAAATAAGTAAGTTGCTAAGGTCATGAAACTGGTGTCAGAGCCTGCATTATCCTCAAGGGCTGTTTGAATATGACGTTTTTGGTTTATCTGTTACATCACCCTCCCCTTGTTGGTGTGTGTGTGAGTCATAAAAATACCTAAAGTCATGTATTAAAAGTCAAAACCTTATCAAATCCAAGACATCTCTACAGAAATACTCACCCGAATGTTTTTGTAAATACAGGGCCATTCCAAACTGTTTCTTCTTTTCATAAATAAACCAACCACTTCAGGGTACTCTTAAATTAACTTTTAAAAAACTCAGAGGAAATTCAACATTTTTTTTACATGATCTCTTCTCACATAGAACATCTAGAGAGACAACATTTTGCTCAATTTTTCACTCAGTGTGCAGACAGGAAGGATTGCTAGTCTGTGTTTTGTTGCCCTCTTAAATGTTCCCTTAATAGTAGGTTATGCCGTGTGATGGGCAATTTGGCTTTGCACCATTTTGCTTGTCATGTTGTTTTCCTAGCATTAAGTAGCTGAGACTAGAAAAGGGCTCATAGAGGTTACACAGCTCAATAGAATGCCTGTCCTTTTGTCTTTTGTTGTTGTTGTGTGTTTTTTTCAACTTTCCATTACACTTATGCCCTCCTTTGTCTTGCCTTACAAATTCATTTCGGACAACACAATAAAAATGCAAAAATTCATTTTTCCTCCTACAATGCTCATTTTTTATGCCTGATTAAAACTAGCTGAAGGGAAAAGAGTAAGCAGAAAGAGTGTAAAAAAAATTGTTCTTCTCTGTCTAAAAACAAAGAGTGAAGCCTATTTTCTTCAAAACAAAACGCTGTGTATACATGCAAATGTTTGTGCTATGGATAACATTCCCCATGACAATCTAGACTGAAGGAAAATATGAAATGCTTTTTAAACAAACTGCCTTTTTTTTTTTTTGACAGACACGAAGTCACTTGACTTCGAATAATCCCATTACATTTAACTTTGCATGATTTGAGAGTGTGAAAATGCAGTTCTCCTGCTGTGTCATGTCCTCAGTAATGTCTGATGACATCTCCTGAGGTCAAGTCCACAATTTGGCAGACTCTGTATACGGTGAAATGATTGCTTGATGTTATAGGAATACACTCTTTTTGTAGCTCTTAAGTAACAGTCTCTTAGTTTTGCATGAGATGTGTCACCTATTGGCACAATAATACATTTGAAATGGTCTTACTTTTGGAAATAAAGGGTCACTTTTTAATTCCTGAATTTTATAGTTCAGTATGAATATCATCAGTAAATGGTATAAAAGAATTTTAGTGGTATTTTTAATACAAAAAAATCTGTCTTCTGGAAAACTATACTTTATATATACACAGACAGCCCATCTTAATCAATGAATAAAATTGAAATTAACTCTAAAAGCTTCAAAACAGAAGATACTGTTTCAATTTAAGCTAATCCAGGTTAAGTGGACCCAGTTAACTTAATCCTGTAAAAAATAAAACCTCAACTCTTTGCTGCTATTTTTTTTAGAAATTCGTTTGCATTCACTCTTTAAGGAAGCACCTTTCATATTACATGTTGTTTGTTTATAGAAAAACAAAGTTCATATACTGTATGTGGAATTTGACATCTAAGTAACCTTTTCTTGGCCCAAAATGGTTTCTAGATATTAAGCGCCACTTCATTTAGTGCTATTTTTTGTACATTAGCTTTGTAAATTATATTTTAAATTTTACACTGCTGCTCTTGTCACACACAGCTTTCTTGAGGAATCAGGAAATGACTTCCAAGTTTTAAAGCATTCTGTTCTACTACTCCCAAGGTCCTGAAGAACATCATTTTAGAATACTATGGAACTGGCTTTTGATACCTCTTATCAATATAAACAAAGACACATTAACAATGGAATATTTTGAAACCAGCTTCCTTTTTTTATTATGAAAATACAAACTGAAAGTTACTTCCCTTCAATTACCCATTAAGGCTGAACTTCTGTTAAATCTTCATAGAAATGTAAACAGCTTAACTTTTTTTTTTATTGCAATTGACTTCGTTTCCATGAAAACATGAGCATTAATTTTTGTTTCAAAGAAGGCAATTAAATAAAAGAAAAGCATAGTCAACTATTTGGGCAAGTAATGTTACAGGTTGTACACTGTACTGTTAACAGTTGTTTCTAATATACACTGGTGGAACAAAACTACATTGATATTATATTATCAGCCTGTTTTCCCATCCGCTCCAAACACAGATTTTTTTTTGCTAAGAAATTATTCATATTCTGGTTAGTTCTTTTTTTAAGATGATGGGAAGCTTGGTTTCTACAGAACTAGCCCTTTCTAGATAATACTAAGCATCTTTGTCACAAATTGCATAATTATAAGTTCAAATGAGAGTTTTAGATTCAGAATTTTTAGCTAATTGATATTTATATAATTTTAGTAATGTAAACTTTGATAATGTTGACAGTCTCTCATAATGATTTTATGGATTAAGATGTGGTCTTTTCCTGAACGTCGCTTCATCTTCCTTATCTTCTTCTTCATCATCATCCGAATAATCCACTAATCTCATTGGGTTATCTGTTCCATTGGCATCCCCAGCAGAATGGGAATAAGTAAATTTGATGTCACCAGAAGATGTTCTTTTAGGAGCATTCACCTTGTCTTCATTTTCTGTTGTGTTTTCAATCTCCATAGATATATCATAATCATCTTGAAAATCACTTTCCATTGGTCTCATACCTGAATGTCCTTCCTCTAAATTTTCTTTATCTCCTTTATAAGATACTTCATTCTTCTCCACGTCTCTGGCCCTCTTACTATTCTGCAGAGAATTCAAACTCTTTTGACTCTTGCGCTCTTTTTCTTGTTCATATTTAATCTTCATATTTTTGAATGTCTGAACATAGTCAATCCATTCAAGTGTTTTGTAAAATTTTTCAACTACATGTGTAAGCAGAAGCTTGATATTTTCCTCTCTTATATAGTCAAACAGTTCAATAACAGCCGAATTCAACATATTGTATCGAGTTCCATTATTCAGAAAGGCGTTTACAACTGGCTCAAATAAATTTCCCTCGATGATGTAACGATTATAAACTTCATCTTTAAGGCCAATTATCCTTCTCATAAGGCGAAGAGCACATAAGACTAAGAAAGTATGTCTCGACTTCATCAAGATCAATACATTTCTCAGCAAATCTTTTCGCAAAATATAGTATTTTATGTAATATGTGTGATGTTGCACACAAAAAGTTAGCAGCTCTAAAATTATGCCAAGCAGCTGTGCTGTTTGATAATCATGGAGGCAATATTTGTTGTTTATGTCATCTCCAAGTATATGATCCTCTTCAAATATATCTTCTGATGTAGTGGCCAAAAGTGGTACTATTATGTTATGCATACATTGTTTATAAAAGAAATTTAGAAATTTACTTCTTTCACATTTTTGTGGCATCGCTATCATGTTTTCTGGATCAAGTATAAAACGAAGAAGTCCCATTATATGTAAAGCACCTGCTTTTTCAGGATCAGTATCACAGATCATTTGTTTAATGATTAAATTAATGAGAAGGCTACCTTTTTCATTCTGCTGCTCTTCTTCTAGTAGGAATTCTCGGATCACTGATGGATTATGCTCCACCAGATGAGCAAATATGTCAATAGCAGATGACTTTACTTGATAATCATCCAGGCTCATTATAACTTTAATAGTGGGAAGAATTCCCATTTGTGTTAATGTTTTGAATAGTGCATCCTTGCTTCGAGGCTTTAATATCTGAGCAAATGCACCAAATTCCTTGAGAAAAAATAACAATTCATGCCGCTTATCGTTATCAATAGTCTTGTCCTTTAACTGTTCAAATATTTGAGGCAAAAACTTATCATCTGACTGCAGCATGTGAATTATCTCCATCTTGTTGAGGAAAATAAAAGTTTTAAGAGCAGAAAGACAATTCTCATCCAATACTGATGGTGTAGGGAGAAGAATGTCTTGAATATACTGTACTCTGTATGTCTGATGTATTATTTGTCTAAGTTTACAGGTTGTTATAGGTATAACTTCCTTGAAATTTGCATTTTGGGTCAAGAATTCCCTATGCTTTTTTGGCTGATCCAAAGCAGGGTCATATTCAAGACATCCTATCACATTCATGATGCACTCCTCAGAAAACAAGATATCAAGCAGAGCTGTCTTGTCGAGGAAAAATATTCCTTTAATAATTGTATGCAAATGGTATAAGCCTTCAGTGTATCCTACGCTCTCACAGGACTGTAACATCTGCAGTAGTTTTTTAATATAAGTCTCATTTTCTAAGACCAGAGCCAGCCTTCTCCTACGGAGAGGTGAATCAAAGGCTGAGGTAACTAAGTTAGCAATCTGTTTAAGTTTACTGAGTTCACAGTTAGGCAGTTCATCCAAATCATCGGTTTCTAGGGTTTCATCAATTTCTTCTTCTAAATCATCTAAAAGGTCTTGTGTGACGTTAACAGAGGGGTCTCGACCTTGAACACGGCAAATGGCTTCCCAGGTCTCGTAACAACTTTCCGAGTCTCGGAAACTCAACGCCATGCCGTGGTTCTCGGCCTCGGACCAAACAATTAATGTGTCTTTTTGTCTCTGATAGGGCGTGTCTGGGAGGACCTCGGACTCCAGGATCTGCGTGCCTCTGGACTCCGACCAAACGACCAGAAACAGGCCCTGGGATTCTGAGGCAACTGAGGTGATGTTCCCTGAGCCTAGATAATCCCATTGTTTGTTCTCATTCAAGGTGTAAAGCTTTACCCGACGATTGGGCTTGTCTGCCATGGCGAACGTAGGGGTCTTTACCTTAGTACCGCTCTCGGAGGCGAAGTTTTCCGAGGTGCAAGGAGCGTACACCCGGAACTGACCCAAGGTGTGGCTGCTATGGCTGCTACGGTGGCCGAGAGGGCTCCTTGAGAAAAGCGCAGCAGAAAAGATGGCGGCGCAGTCGAAGTCGGGGCCACGGAGCCTGGGCCTAAGCGAGCGAGCGTCACACCGGCGCTGGCGCTGGCGGCTCCTGAGGTCAGTAGGGTTCGCCGGAGTCCCGCTACATCTCACTGCCTTCTCACTACCCCCTGCCTCCATTTTGTTCCCCCATACTTTCTTAATTTGCGCTTCAAAAGGGAGGCTCTCTCAGCCCTCTTATGGCTGCCTGGGAAAACCCCCGATTGAACAGGATTCTAATAATTGTCCCAGAATTCCACTCAAAGGAACGTTGTATACGCATCAATGCACAATGCCTCCCGGCTTACAAATGGAGGCTTAGGCATTGGAGCCAAGCACAATGCTCTTCCCTTGATGCGTTTTGTACTCGCTACCACCTAACACCGAAGAACCATTTTCATTCATTGGGTGTCTGGGGGTGGAGCCTTGGGACCTTACACAAAAGAAAGGTTAATCATTCATGTCCTTACCAAGTCTACTCCTGACATTTTATATCAAGAAAAGGCTCCCCTCCCTCCCCCACCTCCAAAGGAGCAGGAGCAAGTGAACTATGAGCCATTAACAATAGCCACAGATGTGCAGTTGGGTCTTGGCTTAAACCTATATCACTCACTATCTATTCTCCAGGAGGATATTGTTCCAGGAGAGTAAGGTGACCAGATGTCTTGCTTTTGGTGGGACAGTCCCAATTTTTAACAATTTGTCCCATGTCCCTCGGCGTTTTGAAAAAGTCCCGATTTTTGAAGGACTTGGCAACTCTTTCAGAGCTTACTCTGAAGGTCTCTCTTTTGGTGCAGTGGGAACATTTCCCCCCTCAATTTTCTGTAATCTACCGTGTTTCCCCGAAAATAAGACCTAGGGCATGGAGAGATAAGACATCCCTGAAAATAAGACCTAGCGCAACTTTGGGAGAAAAAATTAATATAAGGCACTGTCTTATTTTCGGGGAAACAGGGTATAACCATATTCCTAATTCCTAGGAAAGAAATGGGCCAGACAAAAACAGTCAAAAATAGCCGAGAGTGAAAATTGAGTATCACAGAGCAATTGTTTTATTTTTTTAAGGCTTTTTAAGAGAAAGGAAGAGAGAGGAACATTAATCAGTTGCCTCCTGTATGTACTGAGACCAGAGATCAAACCTGCAACCTGCATATGTGCCCTGACAAGAAATGGAACTGGTGATCTTTCCATGCATGGTAGAATGCGCAACCAACTTAGCCACAGCAGCTAAGGCTAATTGTTTTATTTCTTACTAAATATGGTGAAATTAACAACCATAACCAAGTAATAGCACTTGAGCATTTTTTATTATTATAAAGAAAAGTAATAATATAATTGAACAAATATACTTGAATGCTTATATGTTTAAGACATTGTTACAAGGACTTTCATATTTTTTTATTTAATTTTCATAATAACCATAATATAGGGATATTAAGCACCCTTTTAATATGAGGAAACAAATTTAGAGAAATTAAAGTAAGTACCCAAAGGTCACACTGCTAATAAGCTGAAAAACTCTGGTTTGAACATATCTTTCTGATTCCAAAATTGTTTTTCTCAGCCACTGAACTATGCTGTCTCCTTCTTTTCTTGGCCTTCATTACACTTTATTTCACATTCCTTCTATCTATATAATTTGTAATCAACAAAATTATCAAGAGAAGATGAAAGTCACGCACTTCCTCCTTTAGATTCACATCTGTGTGTAGCCAACTGAAAATAGCAACTTGTCGATGGCAACTCTGTTAAATATAATTTTAATAGTAACCAAGTTGATTTTTGATGTAGCAGCAATTTCTGTAGTTTTCTTAAAAAAAAAAAATCCCCCAAAAAACCTTTAACCCTGTTTTTGCAAGGGAAAAACTGAGAATTTGGCCATCTCAAGTACATTTGTACTTAAACAGTCCTGTTTGTAACAATAACTTCATTTTACATAGAACTGAAGGTGTGTGACAATTCTTAACTAGACACAGAAAAACTCTCACACACCTCTCTTGCAATGTCACCTCCAGGAGTTTATAGTACAGAAGTATTCCCTGAACAGGACAGCTGGGACACGGGAATTGAATGCAAATACCATCATTTCATGAGAAAATTCAAATCAATGATAGGAGTTTCTGATTTAGGGACATTTACAAATTCTAAGTAATACTTAGACATAAGGGCTAATAAATGACTAATGATGGAAGCCAATTCCATGTCAGCAGGGCTGGATCATCTGGAAATAGCTGAGGGAATTTCCCTCAACCTGAGAAGGATGCGTAAATGATTGCTTGCTGCCAGACAGACAGCTGGGGGCATCTTAAGCTACATGTTATTGCCTCCTACTGGCCAAACTCCTGAACAGCCAAAGGCAGTTCCTCTGATCTGATAATGGATTCTGTATACCAAGCCTTACCTTTTGATGTGCATATATACTTTGTTTTAGGACAAATTATATTGGAGTCCAGAGAGACAAGAGAACGTGGTTTCTTTACCCAAGCAACTCTGGCCCCCCAAAATGCCTTCCAAAATTATGTTTCATCTCTGGACTCTATTAATTACACACAGTGCCTTCTCCAGATTCCTGAACCCTTCAAGATGCTGGATTAAGACCCCTGGCAGACTAATACAGAAATTGATATATGTGCTAGTTTGAAACTCCTGTCTTATTTCAACAAGAGAAAATATGCAAATATATGATAACAATAATGACATGCATATTCATGCCCAATTTTTTTCCTCTGCTGTGATTATATTAAAGCTTCTTTCAGAATCAATTATAATGCTTGTCAGTTGTCTGAATCTGTTTTCAGGTTTTTTTCTCTGGGAGGTAGTCAGCACAAATCTATGTGTTTTCACAATTTTATCACAGGGAGTCTCCCTTAGGCCAGTGAAGGTCCCATTATCTTAACTAGGTTAACTGAAATCTCTTTACAGTCTAAAAGAGCCTCAATTCGCATTTCTTATTGCTATTTCTGCAGTAGATTCTTTCAGTCTCTGTATTACTTGGTTTGGGAATTAGAACAATGCTCTTTTTTTTGCTTCAATAGTTCTACCAACCTAAGGTTATGGTTTTGTTTTGTTTTTGCTTTGTTGTTTTGCACAGAGCAAGGAAATAGGAATTTTAAAATGTCACATTCCTGGAGCTGTGTAAATCCTTCCTGTAGGCATTATTTCTTTTTTATTTAATCCTCATGCAATAATGGCTAGAGGAAGATATTATTACTACCATATCAGAGAGGAAAAACTTGAAACTCCAAAACTGAATTGAGCATTTGGTTCAAACCTCTGCAGAAAGTGATGATGCTAGGATTTCAAAATAGGCCTGTAGCATTCCAACTCGCTAGTCCCAGTGTACCATGCTTTTTCAAAGACTACACATAGATTGTTATAGCATATGTCTAAAACAATATGATTTTTATCCAAACTATCATTGCTATTTGAAGGAAATTCTTTGAGGCTAGTTTAAAATCAAAATGGCTAGATTTACTCTTTTTTTAATAATATATTTTTTATTGATTTCAGAAAGGAAGGGAGAAGAAGAGAGAGAAAGAAACATTCATGTTGAGAGAGAATCATTGATCGGCTGCCTCCTTCGTGCTCCCTACTGGGGATCGAGCCCATAGCCTAGGCAAGTGCCCTGTCCAGAAACTGATTCCTGACCTCCTGGTTCATAGGTCGACACTCAGCCATTGAGCCATGCAGGCCAAGCTCTAAATATCTTTTAAAAATAACAATAACGATATTTTTATTGATTTCAGAGAGAGGAAAGGAGAGGGAGAAAGAGATAGAAACCTCCATCAAAGAGAAACATTAATCAACTGCCTCCTGCACACACCCTACCAGGGAATGTGCCTGCAACCTGGGCATGTGTTTTGACAGGGAATTGAATTGGTTACTTCCTGGTGCTTGGGACAATGCTCAACCAACTGATCCATATCAGCCAGGCTAAATGTCTTTTCAAAAAATTTTCTGTATTCTTTTCCCCACTCTGAACTCATAAAATATCTTTGTAAACATAGGTTTTATAGCCCTTTGTTTTTTTCATCGTTCAATGGGATGATTCTTTATAATAATTACATTAGGGAGCTTGCCATTAATTTTTCAAGTTATATCTTTTTTAATGCAGCTATATATGAAAAAGCCCTTTTTAAATTTTCCATTTGAGATTATCTAATTAATACCTTTCTTCTCTCTCCTACACATACAAGCACATGACATCCACAGCTAGAATTGGATTCCTTAAAGTGGCTTCATTATCTTAGTAACTATTCTTTTTGCTTTGAAGATCTTCAGGTAAAGAGATATAACAACTTTCTTGTATAGTATTTTCTAATATCATTCTCTTTGTACCACTAGAACATATTTTTTTGCCTTTCTCTAAAATAAAGCTTCCAGTTTTAATTTCTTCCTATTCTCCGTTCAATGATAGGTAGAGAACGAAGGCTCATACAGTATAAGCTACATTATTTTCCTCCATCTTTGGGTAAGTACCAATCTTCTCCAGACCAAACACTCCTGACCTTACCATTGCATTTATAATTTTATTTGTACTAGTAACCGATTGTTAATCTGACTTCTTTTTGTTGCATTTTCTTTCTTCACAACAAATTCTAGTTGCATATCTCAAAGAGAAATATCATTCCAACATTTAGCAATTCTAAATATCTTTAAAGAAATCCTTCATTATTCTATAATTATACTTTCTTAATTATCTAATCCTAATGTCAAGTGTACTTACGTTGCCTGTGGCAATATAAGTCTGTGTTTCACTTTAATTCAACAATGGAAACTAGAGGAGGAATATGTCAGTTTTGCAGTATTCTTGAAGTTGCTCTGAGTACATATTTACAGGA